AAACGAAAATTGCTTCAAAAAAGTTTCATTTGTTACTCTTTGTTAAAAAAAAAAAAAAAAAGCAAATGAAGACGTTGGATACGAGGGGGAAAAGATGATGGAGACATTTGATGTCATTTAGCAAGTTTAACGATTAATTAACTTCGTATCATGGATAGGTTGTAGTTCTCTGTGTCATTATAAAATTTTATATTATGTTGTTTTGTATCTATTATTGTCGGTTTAGTAAATAATTTAACGAAGATGTGAAGTTTCAGTAATGATCATGACATATCTGATTATTTATATATGCAATACATTTACATGCATTTGCTTAACTAACTAATAATGGAAGCATATTAATTAATTAATTAATTATATACATTATTGTGAAATATCCATTAACTTTTTCTATAATTAATTTTCATTAGAAACTTTAACTAAAAACCTTCCCCGGATGTCTTTTCTATTAACCACATTTTCATTAAAAAAATCAAACATGAAAATTATCTGTGATATTCACTTGGATACTTCCAAAAGTATCTGTGTACTATTCAGTCTTAGACAATAGACACCACACCAACTACATAAGGATTAATTTTAAAGTAGTCGCTTTTTTATGATATACATTTTTTTTTTCAGTAGGTGTGAGACAAGCATATTCTTTTCATGAAAATCAATCAAGAAAGTTGTCCTCTTTAGGAGGAAATAAGACGACCATGATTTATATTGACAATTATTATTTATAATTTCTATTTTGCTTTTGGTAATGTCAAGTATATTAGTTTAGATTCATAAAACTATAATTATATATATAGAGTTTAATAGTTATTTTTTATGAGTTTTAAATTAGTTATTATAAAAATCATCTAATTTAATATATGTGTTAATTTATGATTAGATAACAGTGAAAAAGTGTAACTAAATATATTATTTGTGATCATTGTTGATTATATTAACGTTTTTTATTCAATGAACAAATCATGAAGGTATGGACGAACTGGAATGTACAAGGCCTTGATGTTTGGAAACCCTAGTGTAATTGTTACAACACCTGAAACATGCAGAAGGGTGTTGACAGATGATGATAAATTCACAACTGGTTGGCCTCGTTCTGCCATAGAGCTTATTGGAAAGAAGTCATTTATTTCAATGTCTTATGAAGAACATAAGCGCCTTAGGCGTTTGACATCTTCTTCAATCAATGGCATGGAAGCATTGTCCCTATACTTGACATATATTGAAAAAAACGTGAAAAGTTCATTGGAGAAATGGGCAAACATGGGACAAATTGAGTTTTTAACTGAGATCAGGAAGCTTACTTTCAAAATCATTATGCACATTTTCCTTAGCTCAGAAAGTGAACCTGTTATGGAGGCTTTGGAGAGGGAGTACACAACACTTAATTATGGTATTAGAGCCATGCGAATTAATGTTCCCGGATTTGCATACTACAAAGCATTCAAGGTAACTTGAGCATTAAGTTTGTGAAATGACAGAACTTGGATTAAGTAACTTGTATACTTATCATTGAGTTTACAAATCAAATAATGACATTCAAATACCTTTTTCCTAAGTCAACAACATATTATCTAAGCTTCGCCTTGTATGGAAAAAATGGAAAGTTTTATTAGCATTTATTTTCTTTTAATTTGAATGAAATGCAAAGTAGTGCTTTTATATTGCAACATTAAACTAAAAACTTATTGATATTCTTATCCTTCAGTTGTTTGATTGTGTGATCACTTGATTTGTAATTGTAAATACTAACACCATATTCTTAAGTATAGTCTTCTAAACATATTGTCTACTATTATCAAAATCTTATTGGACATCATACATTTTTGTGGGTCTCATTTCTTACATAATGGGTTTCATTCATGATTTTGTAATTTTTTTTTTATAAATTATACTAATAATAAAGGGTGTATGGTGAATATGTTGGTAGTGCTCCTCTTTATAATTTATGCAAATTTGATACTATTTTAGATAAATGCAATCAGTTTTTACCTACTAGACTAAAAGAAAGTATTGATCTACAATTTCAGCTATGAGGTCTTAGGTGTTATACGACAATTATTTGCCATGGAATTGAAGTGTTGACAGAGCTAATTTGAAACTGAGAAAAATCTTAATTCTTTTGGTATGTTAGGGCAATTTACTTGCATATCTTAAGAAAATGGAACTTCACCTCAATCTTAGGAAGAAGTACAACAAAAATTTTCTTTCGTTCATTTGGTCTTCAATGAAACCTATTCTACGATAATTATATCATTAATGACATTGTCAAATTATTCTGTATGTTCTTCAAATGAATCATAAGTCCTTTTTAGTCAGATTCTGATCAATGATTATAACATGAAGTAACAAAATATAGTATATGCAAGTCTTGTAGTTATTCAAGTACAACTTCGTGTCACTTGATGCATGCTTTTATTTTAGGCAAGGAAAAATCTTGTGGCCATATTCCAATCCATTGTGGATGAGAGAAGAAACATAAGGAAAGGATATTTGTCTGGAAAAGCCAAAGATATGATGGATTCTCTGATAGATGTTGAAGATGATGATGGAAGAAAGTTGAAAGATGAGGACATCATTGATATCATGTTAATGTACTTGAATGCGGGCCATGAGTCTTCAGGACATATTACCATGTGGGCAACCTATTTCCTGCAAAAGCACCCGGAATATTTCCAGAAGGCTAAGGTATCATGTTATTTCATTATCATAGTCCATTTAAATTTACAAGAGAAATGTTAACAACACTTGCTCTAACACCTTGCTAACACTTTTTCTATTTGTTGAAAATCACAAATTTTAGAAAGTCTTATTACTAAGTCAGAGAAACTCATTAAATGGGAAACAGAATCTACAAAATTTGAGATTTCCAATAAATTTTAACTAATAAAAAGGAGAGTATTAGAGAAAATATCGCTAGCATTTATCAAATTTACGATTACTAAGAAATACTAAACAATTAAACATGCACATTAATCACTTCATCTTGGAAAATGTGCCATGTCCTACCTATATCATAGTGTAAGTTCAATATTTAACATTTACTTCCTAATGTTGTTAACTCCTTGAATAGGCAGAACAAGAAGAAATAGTAAAGAAAAGGCCTCCAACACAGAAAGGGTTGACACTAAAGGAAATTCGGGAGATGGATTTTCTGTACAAGGTTTGTATGTATATGTTTATCTCTAGTTAATATCAACTGATATTGGATCAACTATGCTTATATTTGTTTCCATCATTTTTCACATTCTTTAGGTTATTGATGAAACAATGCGTGTGATTACATTCTCCCTAGTCGTCTTTCGGGAGGCAAAAACTGATGTCAATATCAATGGTTAGTCCATGTTTTCGGACTTTAATGCATCTCCAATATCAGAATATTCTTGCTTGGTAACTATATATGATTTTTGTTCACACGTATGGTATTACAAGAATATCATGATGTGGCTTGAATTATAATTTTTTATTTATGTTACAAAGTACTAACTGCATATGGGGTGATATAGGATATACCATTCCAAAAGGTTGGAAAGCACTTGCGTGGTTCAGGTCAGTTCACCTTGATCCAGAAATATATCCTAATCCAAAGGAATTTAATCCGTATAGATGGAATGTAAGTTTTTAATTTCTAACTAATTTGGATTGAGTTGATGTATTTTGCATTTGTATATGGTGCTTTTTTATTTAATTTTCATTTTGATGGTGCTTATTCATAGAAAGAACACAAGGCTGGAGAATTCCTTCCCTTTGGAGCAGGAAGTAGATTGTGTCCTGGGAACGATCTTGCCAAGATGGAAATAGCAGTTTTTCTTCACCATTTCATTCTGAATTATAGGTGAGCACTCTCTTTCACCCATGTTATATATAGAGAGAGCATACCAAGTGGAGAGGAGTCTTTATATAATAAGAGGGTGATGGATGAATATGATTGAATCACAAAGTCACACGCGAATCTTCTAAGTGGTCATGTGATGGTTAAATAAATTTTAATCCTAATCATACATGTATAATTGTATGATCCATGTTTATTCCTCTCACTCTTTCAATATAAACATTCCACTCTTTATATAATTGTAAGTTGGTGTAGTAGTTAGACATTGTACACTCACATTATAAGAAGTAAGAATAACATATATGTAATGCGGAACTTATATAAGAGGGTAGACTTACCTACCAAGATTTTCAATATTATTTATGATCTTTTGCATATCATCTTCATATCCCTTTTATTTATGATTTTTTTTTGTTTCATGCACATTCTATTAACAATGCTACTTCTTGATGGTGCAGGTTTGAACAGCAAAATCATAATTGCCCTGTGAGATATTTACCGCATACAAGGCCCATGGATAATTGCTTGGGAAGGGTCAAGAAATGTTCAACTATATCAACCTAAGAGCACATGATTATGATTTTTCTTTCTTTTTTTTTTTTTTTTAAATACACCTTCATCCATTAATAATATACCTCTCTTTTCTCACTCCCTCTCTTTTTATTTATTTCCTAAATACCTTTTTTTATAGAAGAGTATCAGAAAATACTTTTCAGACAAAAAAATAAATTTATTCTTATAGAAAATACTTTTCAGGAAGCATATATTTATTCTTCTGAAGAAAACTTTTCATAAGTATCATTTGGCATATCTCACCTCCAAACCAGGAAAGAAAAAATATATTTTCAAAAAGTATTTTCTAAGAGAAAAAATACACTTCTAAAAATTATTTTTTGAAAAAGTAAAAATATACTTTCAAAAAATACTTTTTGAAAGATAAGATAATTTATTCTTCTAAAATGTATTTTCCATAAATATATTTTAGAAACTTTAAAGAAAAATTCTAGAAACAATAATAATAAAAATATGTATTATTTGTAATCGACAATTTATCATAAAATCAATAAGTTGTGTCTTTAGAAGAAAAAAAAAAAAAAAAAAAGGCCTTCCAAACATTCATAACCTTGGATCCGATATATGCGGTATTAAGATGAGGAAAAATAATAGGGTTTAAAAATGTTGAAGTAAGAGTGAAAAATTAAAGTTTTAAAAAAATAATAAAGATTTGTTGGTTAAAGAAGAAGAGTGGTTTAAGAAAGATATAGTGATAGGAGATTAGAAGTAAGAAAAAGAAGAGATAAATGAAAAAGATAGTTCTTAAAAGTAAATTTTATTTTTAAAAAAGTAAATTAAAAAAATATTTAGA